CAAAGTTTTGATTTTGACAATATGGTTTCTTCATTTTGGATTCAGGTGGTCTAAGATTGCTTCTAAGCTACCAGGAAGAACAGACAACGAGATCAAGAATGTGTGGCATACACATCTCAAGAAAAGATTGAGCTTGGTCGAGGCTAACCTTGAAGCGGCTTCAAAAGGATCTTTGAATGAAGAAGAGATTTCTTCTCATCAAGAATCATCTCCTAATGCTTCTATGTCCTTTGGTGGTTCCAACATTTCAAGCAAAGAAGAAGATGATGATGTAGAGATATGTCAATTGTTTGAGTATATTCAACAAGATTATAGCGAATTTACGGGGATGTTACAAAAACCAGAGCTTCTTGAGATACCTTTTGATTTAGATCCAGACATTTGGAGTTTTATAAATGGTTCAGAATCTTTTCAACAAGATGAGAACAGTTTGACTTCAATGGCTCCTCAAGAAGATGAAGTTGAGAAATGGTTCAAGCACCTTGAAACCGAACTCGGATTAGAAGAAAATGATAACCAACAACAACAACATAAACAGGGGACAGGAGAAGAGGAAGAATCACCATCATCACTCTTGGAGAGTTATGAGCTCCTGATACATTAATGAATTATCATCCTCATTAAAATATCTATAATAGAGCTAAATTCTTTAGTATAGAACAAGATAAGGTAGACACCATAATGATGTAGTAGCGAGAACGAAGAAATGTAGAAATGTAACAGCATGTAGATACTATTACAATGCGGTAAGATTTCAAACCGAAGGATTTTATTTGCAAAAAGATTGCTTTGTAGTGAAACCACAATTAGAAAACATGTTTTGGAGTGTAATTAATTAATCCCTATCAGCTAACAACCATCCAAAAATAGAAGTTGACAGAGATTGAGAAAGTTTACTTGTTATCGTCACGAAACCGATTTTAGCAGCTAAAATATGAGTCTTTTTCCAAAATAGATGAAGTTTTACTCTCAATTGTGTACCAAGAAAGTAAAACTTGATGGTTGGGTTAAATGTCGTAGGATAAAACAATTGGGGTAAAGTAAGACACAAAAGAATAGTACGGGGTTAATATTGAAATTATTAACTCTTAAGACCAGGTCCAATAACGAAATAACCAGACACAAAAGAATAGGAATAGTAGTATAATTCCGGTTTCTCGTACCACACTCCGGTTATTTCGTTATTGATTCAAAAGAGCAATTTTTCTTTTTCTTGGTGTTCTTCAAATCGTTGAACTTTCCGGGAACCACCGACGAATTAGAGCTGGCCACTTGGCGCCGCAAAGTCCTGTCTTTTCAGGGCGGCGAATCTCGTTTCCTAAGTGATATTTTCTCCCGCCATTTCAAGACGCGACGAATCTCGACATTGCAATGTTTGAAAAAGGTGGAAGAAGAAGTAGGAGCAAAAGTTCCCAGATTGAGTGGATGTTTCTCTCTCTCAGACCATTGGAACCCGGAAATCTCTTGTTTTGATCAAAATGGTTTCTCGCAAATCAGTAGAGAAACTACGGGGAAAGCTGTGCATGCGCTTTGTATCAAGGGATTGGTTCGCCTGAGTGTGCTGCACACCAACACTTTGATTAATATGTACACGAAGTTTGATAGAGTCAAACCCGCTCGCTACCTGTTCGATGAAATGCCTGTGAGAAACGAAGTTTCTTGGAATACAATGATGTCGGGTCTTGTCCGTGTTGGATTGTACCGGGAAGGGATGGGTTTTTTCCGGAACATGTGTGATCTTGGTATTAAGCCTAGTAGCTATGTGATTGCCAGTTTAGTAACGGCTTGTGGTCGCTCAGGTTCTATGCTCAGAGAAGGGGTTCAAGTTCAAGCCTTTGTGGCTAAGTCTGGTTTGTTGTCTGATGTATACGTGAGTACTGCTGTTTTGCATCTCTATGGGGTTTATGGATTGGTTTCGTGTTCAAGGAAGGTCTTTGAGGAGATGCCTGACCGGAATCTGGTGTCTTGGACTTCACTGATGGTTGGTTATTCGGATAAGGGTGAGCCAGAGGAAGTAATTGATATCTATAAAGGTATGAGAGGAGAAGGAGTTGGGTGTAATGAAAATTCCATGTCTTTGGTAATCAGTTCTTGTGGACTACTTAAAGATGAATCCTTGGGGCATCAAGTTATCGGACAGGTTATCAAATCGGGACTGGAGAGTAAGCTCGCAGTGGAGAATTCACTCATATCCATGTTTGGTAATCTGGGAAATGTAGACTATGCAAACTACGTTTTTGATCAAATGTCTGAACGTGACACAATTTCATGGAATTCGATTGCTGGGGCATATGCACAAAATGGTCATTTCGAGGAATCGTTTTGGGTTTTCCATTTGATGCGTCATTTTCATGATGAAGTGAATTCCACCACCGTGTCAACTCTATTATCAGTCTTGGGTCATGTGGATTACCAAAAATGGGGAAGAGCAATTCATTGCCTTGTTGTTAAGATGGGGTTTGATTCGGTTGTTTGTGTGTGCAATACTCTTTTGAGAATGTATGCAGGCGCTGGAAGATCGGAAGAGGCAGAGTTGGTGTTCCAACAAATGCCTGCCAAAGATTTGATTACATGGAACTCTTTGATGGCTAGTTTTGTTGAGGATGGGAGGAACTTAGATGCTTTAGGACTTCTTTGTTCAATGATGCAGACCAGAATATCAGTGAACTATGTGAGTTTTACAAGCGCATTGGCTGCTTGCTTTAGTCCTGAATTTTTCGACAAGGGCAGGATCCTTCATGGACTTGTACTGGTCTCTGGTTTATTTGACAATCAGATTATTGGTAATGCATTGGTTTTTATGTATGGAAAGATAGGCAAGATGATCGAAGCCAGAAGGGTACTATTACAGATGCCTAAACGAGATGAAGTAGCTTGGAATGCTCTTATCGGTGGCTATGCTGAGAATGAAGATCCCGGCAACGCACTGATGGCTTTTCGCACTATGCGAATGGAAGGTGTTCCTGCAAATTATATAACAGTTGTGAGTGTTCTTGGTGCTTGCTTAATGCCCAGTGATTTGCTTGAACGGGGGAAGCCACTACACGCCTATATAGTTTCTGCTGGATTTGAATCAGATGAACACGTCAAAAACTCGATTATCACCATGTACGCTAAATGTGGTCATTTAAGTTCGAGTCAGGATCTATTTAATAAATTAGATAATAAGAATATCATCACATGGAATGCTATGCTTTCGGCAAATGCTCATCATGGTCATGGAGAAGAGGTGCTAAAACTTATATCAGAGATGAGAAGCGTTGGGTTGAATCTAGACCAGTTTAGTTTCTCTGAGGGACTTTCTGCAGCTGCGAAGCTAGCGGTTCTAGAGGAAGGCCAACTACTTCATGGTTTGGCTTTAAAACTTGGGTTTGAACAAGATTGTTTCATCTTTAACGCAGCTGCAGACATGTATAGCAAATGCGGGGAAATAGATGAGGTAGTGAAAATGCTTCCTCCATCAGCCAATAGATCACTCCCCTCATGGAATATACTAATATCGGCTTTTGGTAGACACGGGTACTTCGAGGAAGTCTGTGAGACATTTCATGAGATGCTTGAAATGGGAATCAAGCCGGGTCATGTTACATTTGTTTCTCTTCTTACAGCGTGCAGCCATGGGGGATTAGTAGAACAAGGCCTTGCGTATTACGACATGATTGCTAGAGATTTTGGTATAAAACCAGCGATTGAACATTGCGTTTGTGTAATTGATCTTCTTGGGAGATCAGGGAGGTTAGCTGAAGCTGAAACCTTTATATCCAAAATGCCAATGAAACCAAACGACCTAGTGTGGCGTAGTTTCTTAGCTTCCTGCAAAATCTATGGGGATTTGGACCGTGGGACAAAAGCAGCGGAACATCTCTCGAAGCTAGAACCAGAGGATGATTCTGTTTATGTCTTGTCTTCAAATATGTTTGCTACAACAGGTAGATGGGAAGATGTAGAGAGTGTGAGGAAGCAAATGGGTTTCAAGAATATCACGAAAAAACATGCTTGCAGTTGGGTGAAACTAAAAGACAAAGTGAGTACGTTTGGTATCGGAGACAGAACTCATCCGCAAACATTGGAGATATACGCAAAGCTAGAAGACATCAAGAAGCTGATCAAAGAGTCTGGGTATATAGCAGATACAAGCCAGGCATTGCAAGACACTGATGAAGAACAAAAAGAACACAATCTTTGGAATCATAGTGAAAGACTCGCTCTTGCTTATGCGTTGATGAGTACTCCTGAAGGTTCTTCGGTTAGAATCTTTAAGAACCTCCGCATCTGCGGTGATTGTCACTCTGTTTACAAGTTAGTTAGTAGAGTGATAGGACGTAGAATCGTGTTGAGAGATCAGTATCGGTTTCACCATTTTGAGAATGGTGTGTGTTCTTGTAAGGATTACTGGTGAAAGAAGGAGAAGCTCTATTACGACTCTGTACAGCATAGCTCATACAAGTTTCATTCTAGTATTCTTTGGTTAAGGTTTTGGGTTTAAACAGTTTTGTAAGCATTACTCCTCCGTGAAACTTCAAAGGATGCATGATTCTGTTTGTAGACAGCTATTGTGTTGCAAGGACTGGCATAAAATTAGTTATATTTAGAATTTGTAATCTCGATTGGCCGTGTGACCAATTCATTGACTGATAAGAAGAGATTTAACTAGAGAAACCTTCACCGAGTGAAAAAGAAAACAGATTTCATTAGTTATCGAATCAGAAGAAAGACATTCAGCTTGAGTACAGCAACAAACTATTTAAAGATCCAAAGTTTTACAGAAAAACGACTCTTTAAGACACCGCAAACGCCAGGAAAATCCGGTCTTAAACGCATGTTTGTTGCTAGACTATGCGGGAAGTTACTCGACTTCAGCAAGGTAATCATCAATCTCTGCTGGTGTTAGTACCCTACATTAACCCCAGAAAATCAATTTGAGTATCAAAAACATTTGTTCAAACATAAGCAGTGGCAACAATATTTCTTGATTTGAACAAAAATGGTACCTGAAAACTTTGTCAGCACCGATTTTGCCAATCTCAATATTTTTGCTTGAGATCTCCCCCTCAAAGCTACCACC